ATCGGATCAGCAGATAAAGTGTGGGGGAAACTAAAAAATGGGGGAAAATTGGAAGCACTGAACGTTAGATCTATAGAACGAAGACACTTTCTTTTTACTGGACCCGAGTCTGATTAACATTTTTTCATATTTGGACTCGAGTTCGAATATGAAATTTTTTTATTCTCGGACTCGAGTCCGAATAAAGACGCCCTTTTCTTAAATTTCCTCGTTGATGATCAATCCTGTCTGTCCTTTTGATCCTCAGTTATTATCTTGCCTAGACACCAAGAAAACCTGGATCCTCTTTATGTATGTCTGAGATGCAGTCCATGTCTGACATCCATGCAAACCCCCCCACCGCACCCCGTAACCCCCACACTGAACCCCCCACCCAATTGGTTCAGTTAAGAGAGCAAATTACTACGCTGTTAGACAGCGCGACGTAAATTAAGTAGATCATATAATTCGTGTTCAGCACATCAAATATAATATAGTAGAAAATGGACAACTGGTATTAAGTGTGAGACGGGAGGGAAAGTAGCTATCTTTGCAATGAACTGTGCGCTCGTCTGAGAAAACTGACATTGCGAAATGCTAGACTTTACCTTGTGATGCAACTTGTTGCTGTGCTATTAAATTAAGAACACTCAGAATCTACTAAACAGAAGGTCAGGCCTGATGGTTTTGTTGATATTGGAGTTTTACTGTATATGTCATTGCCTGGATTTAGATCTGCTTAGAAACGGTGTCTTACGTCTGTTCTCTCGCAAACGCCTTGATATTTTGACAACACATGATGTCAAAATGTATTAAAATCACAAACGTATAGTAGGGCAAACAGGTGTCCCAAACAAATCATGACATGAGTACAATTAAAAGAGACGAGACTAATTGTACCTCTGTGAAACGGTGTGTGTTATCCAAGCAAACCCCCTTCCGCGGCTCCCTCTTAAAAAATTTTTAACCATGTATAAATCGTTGCCAGGCTGGTCATGTTGGGGCTTGTCACTGAGTAAGAGGTCAAAATCTTGGCCTTGGAGGGAATGTAAGTGAGGTTCAACGACCTTTAATGTGAATGGAGTTAGTCCCCTTTCCTGGCCCTCATGGTGTCTGTGGCTCTGAGGAATTTGTATAGTAATTGTGTCTTGGCATCTTACACCCACAATTTTTATTCTGGCTCTATCGTGTCAGGTCAAGGGAAATAATTTTGTTCATGATATAATATTTTCCAGGCTGGAATGACGTGGGTTTCAACAACCCCGACATCAAATCTCCGAACATTGACAGCCTGGCTCATGATGGGGTCATCCTCAACCATGCCTATGTGCAGCCCCTTTGCTCACCGTACGTATAAAATATCATCCTGCTTTAATGGCCGCCTATATAAGTCAATCACCTATACAAACAGCCACTTCCCATTCTCCCCATTGCATTTATTTATGTGTACATTGTAAAATTATAATGGCACTGTGTAAGATATACACCTGTCTTGACCTGTACAAATGGCCACTTCTCATTCTCCCCGTTGCATTTTTAAAAAATGTTATAAAACTGTAACGACACTATGTAAGATGTCTACCTGCTTTGACAATCACTTTTCTCTTCAACAATGGGTGGCTATCTTAGACATTCAGACTGTATATGTTCATTTGTTGGAAAGTAAAACACAACATACTGATGCTTGAAAATACAACACATAACGTACAAACGTCAGAAATGAAAAGTACAACGTGTAATGTAGGCCTACAGATGTTGGAAAGTACAACATACAACATACAGATGTTGGAAAGAATAAAAGAAAATACAGATATTGAAAAGTTCAGCAAGATATATGTTCTAGTATTGGAAACAAAGCTTTCTAATTTACTGAAGCTTAAACAGCTGACTTAAGTTTTCAACTTGCTTATACCAGATTTACCCATTTTATTTTTGTTTCAATTTTTTCTAATCGTAATACTAATTTTTATTTGTAAAAATATATTCTTGCATTATTAAATCTGATATCACCCATGAAACTTGCCCTAATTTTAGAGTCAGCTTTTTTATCAGTGTGATTTTCTTAATCTTTGGTCTATGTCTGTTGTACCTCACTGTACACTGATATGTGATCTGGTTAATGGATATTCTTATAGACTTTCAGGAAGTCAGGTGCATTGTTCCATGAAAGGGAATCGGCAAGCTGTCTTCTGTTTACTAACTTTTCGTTCGAGTAAGAGTTTTAGGCTAGGTCATAAAGATGTTGCAGATAAGAGATGTTACTAAAGAGTTACATACAAAGAAAAGAAGGAGGAGAGATAAGGACCATAGATGTTTGATTTGAAAGATGGAGCTAACCAAGTCAGAGCACCCACCCAGATGTCTGCTGATGATCATACATACGACATGCCTGAGAGGGATTGAGTCTGTGACTATTTGTTTTATTTATTTATGCTGAATAGAAAGAGCTCAAAGTTCAGGTAAAGACATCTCGTGAAGGGAATGTTAACAGTTACAGTGTATTCAGTTAAAATAAAAAAGAATATTTTTTGAGATTCTTCCAAATTTGTTGCCTTGTTGCTTGTATCAAACATTGTTTTGTACCATAACAATATCAGTTAGGCCTAACTCAGAAATTTATTCTCTTCTCTTTTAAAGGTCACGAAGTGCGTTCATGACCAGCTACTACCCATTTAGGCTTGGGCTACAGGTAAGTTGATGTGTTTTCTTACCATGGATGACTCTTTAAATCTGAGGATTTTGATATTGTTCATGTGATTGGTCAGTTAAACTTGAAAGTCCTGTGCGCTCATAACCTTATGCAGTTGCGAGCGTCGTGCGTAAAACACCAAAACAAAGCAATAAACTTGTTAGTCCTTTATAGTAGCTAGTCTCTGTGATGTGTCACTCCACATTGTAGGAGCAGACATGTTGCACTTTCCTGTGTAATATACCAGTATTAGGAGCCAAGTCAATAGGTACTCAGACCTGCCACTCATCCCGATTAAATCGGGACATCCCAATTATTTTGCCTCAAATCTCAAGCATCCTGATTTCGATTGTGTGTATCCCGAATTGTTTTGTTCTGTCTGATGCAAAAAATTTTTCTAAAAGCTCAGTTTCCCTTTATGAATTTATTTTCACCCCTGGACAACTTATAGGTCAGCTTAGTTTGGCAGTCACCCTTGTGATTTGTTTGTTGATTGCAATTTTTTTCCCCACATCCTGATTTTTTTCCCCTTGGGATTCTGAATTTTAGACGTCATAGAGTTGCAGGTCTGGATACTGAATTATTGGTTCTTTGTATAGGTTAAGTCTTGGAGTAACAAAACCGTGTGCTATGGGGGAGGATTTGTTTTTCTGTTGTTTTTATAACCAGCTGATGATGAGTGAAGCATGAACAGTTCTTCCTAATGAGGTAAATAGATAAATGAAATTCCACACTGATTAAGACACCATAGGGCAATTTATATAGTTGCTGTTTTTTTTGTACACCTCTTCCTCCTCCTCCTCCTTCCCATCTCATTCTGTCATTCCAGCATATGGTGATCAACGCACAACAGCCTGTGTGTGCCCCCCTGGACAAGACACTCTTACCCCAAGTCCTCAAGAAGAATGGCTATGCCACGCACATGCTGGGAAAGTAAGATATTTAAATATACCCTCTTGCTTTTTTTAGGGCTCTCCGTTTAAAAAAAATAATTTTCATCAGATTTCTGTTGGATTTTGGAATCTGACTAATGTGGGGGCATTCTCAAACTTTTGATACTTTTGTTCCTCTTTATGTCAAGTTAAAGCTTCTTTTTGTGTAGGTGTATAACATAAGCTTTCCTTTACTTTTATGAATGTGATGTTAATGTTTCTTTTTAAAAAATATATGTGATGTGAGTGGTAGTTTGTGTTATACATATGTGGTGCAATTTTGAAATGTCTGTTATGTTTATGTTTTCTTTGTTCTTATATATGTGATAATAATGGTTTGTTTTTTTTTTGGGGGGGGGGGTTGGCTGTACTCGAATGTGATGTGTAATTACTTAAAATTCCTTGTCTTTTAAATCCACTTCTGTTCACTTTCAGAGGCTGTCTGTGGTAGAAATATTCTTTCTTGTCATTTAAGTTATTTCTGTCTTTGATATAAAGATATTTCTCTAGTTGCAAAAACGCTTTATTAAACAATGCTGTTTCTTAAGCAAATTCTACAAATTTTTTTTTCTGACAATGTGCATTTTTCTTTTTCTTTTTCTTGTTCGTCTCTACTTGGCCATCCCAGTCTCTAGTGCTAAGGCTGTACTGTTCACCGCAGGTCCTCCTGACCCCCATAGAGTTTTGGGTCTCTCTGCCTAGGGTTGTGCCAATATTTCTTTCAAAGTGCCTCAAGCATTGGGCAGGTTTGCAGCTTATGGTTTCCTGTTTGGTTGCCGGTTCCGCACTGACCCTGCTTTGAATTTTTATATCCGGCAAGCTGTTCCCAGCGGCTCTGGCACATTCCTTTTGGACGACTTTGACATCAGATTATTTTTCGGCAATTTCCGATACAAGGTCTCTTTTATCGGGATTTCATTCGTCAGATAAAAAATTATCAAAATAGGTTCACTTGTTTTTGCCGTTTTTAGATTTAGTACCAAAAAAGTGCCCAGGCATTGTGGGTTTACCCCCCTTGGAGATAAAGGTTTAAATTTCGGATCTTAAACTGCATGACTCAATGGTGTTTTAGTGTGCATTTGTCTGAAAACTTATCCTCTTCAATAAAATAATGCTGTGTCTTTCAGTTTCAGTGAATTTTTGCAACTTTTCAATGACCATGTACTTGTCTGAAAACTTGTCCACTTCAACAAAATAATACTGTTTCTCTTAAGCTTATGTATATTTTTACAACTTTTCTATGATCATGAACATTTGTCTGAAACTTTTCCCCTTCAATAAAATAATGCTGTATTTTTAAGTCTCAGTAAATTTTTGCAACTTTTCTGTGACTGTAGACCTACATTTTTCTGAAAACATTTCCCCCTGCTAATTCCCACATGTGTGTTGTGTTGTGTTGCAGATGGCACTTAGGCTTTTGTCGGCCGGAGTGCACGCCCACACACAGAGGCTTTGACTCCTACTTTGGCTACTACAACAGTAGAGAGGATTATTATGTTAAAGTTCAGGGTGAGTCCGTGTGTCTTTTGTATAAAAACCTTACATGATAGTGTGTAAATAAGTATGATTTTATTGTGAGAATCCACTTAAGCAAATGAAAACCTGAGAGCAACAACAAGGTTAAGTCATATTTTCCTAAAGACGAGCGTTCTGCGTATCATTCGAAAGCAGTGACAAAAGGCTATCTGTTACTCTGCTAGTAACAGTGACGAAGCTCTATTCTGTTCCTATGACCAGTTATTCTTGTTCAAAGATGCAAAGCCCAAATGCAACAAAAAAGTCAAGTCCACTTAAAATTCTATTCAAGCCCTCAATTCAGAACTTACTTGAAGTATTTCATGATGAGGTTTTTGCTCATTTTCTTGCAATCATCTAAATGTGACTTGACTGTGGTGCTGTTCTCAGGTCTTCATATTTAATTGACCAGTGGACAGCTTTGTATATGAAATATTACTGAAATTAGTTGGAGTTTTCTCTTTGAGCTTCACTTCTTCAGTAGTTTTGACCCTTCAAAATCACATTCACCTCTCCTTTCTAC